ATAACGCAAAGAAAAGAAAGAGCAGAGCTCACGGAGGTTTAGAGCAAGAGACACGCAGCAAGAGGAAAAATGATGAACACATACGTGCGCTGCAGACAGCAACGCGCCGGTGCTCACCTTCAACGGCCAATTCTGCATGTAATGCTCCAACTGGTCTTTCAAAAACAATCAAAAAAACGGACGTACCGCCCAACAATACCCACATATCGACAACATTGACACATAACCAACGAAAAACTTGACTTTCCATCAAAAAACAATCAAAAACCAAGCAAACAAAACCAAACTTCATACCGTTTGTAAACAAACGGAAACAAATAAAAAACATAAGTCGGTTAAGAAGAAATCAGTAGGACACAAGTAAAAATATTTCAGAACAACAAATTTAGACAACTTAAACACCAACAGTTTCCAACTACTTAATTCCTACTTCACAAGTAGCTTAGATAAACACAAATTATATACTTCAAGTGACTTCAAATCACTACAAGTAGGTTCTTACAAATAACCTACTTACTGCCTACTTGCCATCCAGTTACCTTAGTTAAACTCAAGTTAGACCTTACTCACAACTTAATGCAAGTAGTAGAAGTTCAATCCGACCATGAGGATATGAACCGTTGGAGGTGAAAAAAACATTTTTTGGATCTTTTTTGGCGACGGACACTTAAGGAACTTACAGTTTGATGATCACAGAAATCCTCACCAACGATAGTAGAAAACAGATCCTGGTCAGAATTTCCACTACAGAATGCTAGGCCTTGGGGCCCGCTATAAACCCTCTAAACCCTATGATTTTATAGTCCCCTTTGACGTTGTGCAGAAGCAAATCGTAGCAGTCGAGTTTTGTAAGGCAGTGAGATCCAAAAAAAAATCGAGATAGCAGTTTGTAGTAAGGATTTTTGATCGATTTTTGACGAACGATTTTTTTTTACAGAAAAAACACTGAAAAAATACAATAGCAACTTGTGGTGGCTTTCATGGTTCTATCACATGAAGCAACATGAGACTTCGTATGTTTTCATGACCAATTTGTAGTGAACCCGTTGTTTCACTCGGAATTGAACAAAATCAATGCAGCGCACAATGCAATAGCATCGGGGTGGATATTGTGCTACAAAAAGGGTCAAAACCTGCAGCGTACAATCGGGAAATTTACTCAGTAACTTGAAGCAGTTATCAGCGTTGGTTGTCAACAAAAACTTGCGCACAGATTGGATGATTCTGCTGCAATGCTTTCTGTAGTGATTCGACTTGTACCCATCCAGTTTGTAGCAGTTCTCTTTATGTTGGTTTGTTTTGGGAGGGTTAGGGTTTGCAGCTGTTTTATTTTGCTGCATTGTTCTTAGAGCAAGTACATAATTTGATACAGCTTTCATTTTGCTGCCTGTTTTCAACAAGTACGTTCCTGCCTTGGGCTGGCTCTTGCTGTATTTGTTTACTGACGTGTTCATTGATCAACCACTGCTGTCAACACAAATTTGCGCACAGAATGGATTCTGCTGCAATGCTTTCTGTAGTGATTCGGCTTGTCCCATCCACTTTGTAGCAGTTTTCTTCATGTTGGTTTGTTTTCGGAGCGTTTGCAGCTGTTTTATCTTGCTGCATTATTCTTAGAGCAGGTACATAATTTGATATAGGTTTCATCCGTGAAGTGCTTTTCTTTTTCTTAGGGTTCTTTTGTTGCCTGTTGTTTTTTTTCCTACTCGAGTTGGTGCCTGGAGGGGATTGAGACCAAAAGGTGTTCCACCCCTCAAAAATGCGCCTGGGAGATTGACCCGTGAGATTGCGTGGAGATTGATCCATGTACATTCTTGGAAGGAAGGATGCATCATGGTCACAATATGCACTACCTTTTGCTCCTTTTCTTAGTGACAACTTTTTAGGGGCTACAAAATAGTAGGAGCAGGGTTCCTTCGACCAAGAGCGAATGAGCACACCATATTCATCCACCTTCAAATTTCAGCTACGAAATGGGGAGGACTTGGGCTACAGTACAGATTGCCAGCCAGGATTTTTTTGTACAAACAGGAGGGGTTGTGCCCCCCATTTTGTATTCGGAATCATTTTGTAGTTGATTCCTTTCAAATAATCATTTTCATTTTGTAGTTGTATATGTTGAGTTAGTTGAAGCATCCAACATAAAATCTCATTAGCATTTTGTAGTTGTACAAGTTGAATAGTTGAAGCATCCAACATAAAATCTCATTTGCATTTTGCATTTGAAGAGGTGAGAAGAGGTGGAAAAAAGGAAACAGTGCGTGACATGTACACATGTACATGGACACAAACAGATCATGAAGCTACAGAATGCCATCTAACAAACTGCACGGGGTCAACACTTGATCCAACTAAATTCAATCATTGACAACTACAAAATGTTCTCCGAATTTATGTTGGTCGGAATTTTGGATGGCAAAGACCCAACTACAAAATGTCATTGGGAAAAATCATGTTAGCAATTCCGACGTTCAGCTATTTTTTAACTTCAGATGCATTGGATTTTGTAGTACTGGTTTTGAATTATTTTCCGAGCCAGAAAGAGTTATGTTCTTCACTTTGTAGCTGCAAAAAAAGCAACATGCACTGCATTTTGTACTTCTGCACCCTATGCATATGCATTCCGCTTTGTATCTACCAAAACCATCTGCACAACTCCTCCCCCCTTATCTGAACCCTGATCCATATTCACCATATCGCTACAAGTTGCCATCGGAAAAAAATGGCGGATTATGTTGGATGCTGAATCATTTACATGTAAAGTCACTACAAACTGTCCCACGTTTTTTTTTGTTGAGTTTTCAGGTTTTTTTTTGAAGATTTAGGCAACTTGTAGTAGACCTACTTGTTCAATGATATAGCAGGTTGTAGTAAATAAAAAAAACCATGGGCACCCTAACATGTAGTAAAGTCACCCTAAGGCCGCAGGATTGTAGTCTACAAATTGGGGACCCAACGTCACCCGTCTAATTCCAACGGGGATGAAGACAGTAGTATTCGTGTATGTCATTTCGACAAGTGACAAACAAGATCAAACAAGTAGTTCTGTCCGCCACTCATATCATGCACGCGCACATACGCACACCTATGCCGCATACTCGTACTTATTTGTTTGTTTCTGTTTGTTTCGTGTGTACATAGATAGATACTGTACACATAGAAAAATATAGTGCCGCTATGTCTATATCGATCTCTATTTGTATCTCTGTCTCTGTCTGTCTGTCTGTCTGTCTGTCTGTCTGTCTGTCTCTCTCTCTCTCTCTGTGTCTCTGTCTCTGTCTCTCTAGTTGAATGTCTCTGTCTGCCTGTCCATCTATCTGTCTACCAATTTAGTTTACCACCCGGGAAAAAACCCGACAGGACACTATAGTCACTATTGATAGCTGCGCATATGATATTCAGAGAGCGTGAACCATATTGTACATCTTCTTGGTTCAGCTTGTTTGCCTAAATTCTGCACGGGTGTAGATAAGTCGCAACCTTTGAAACCACGAGGTGGCGCAGCAACAAGCCGCGCTGAATGCACTGGGCTGGCGTTTAGTGAGTTCCTCCCCAGAGGTTGGTGCATGTCTCTCCCTTCGTGCATAATATGAGCACGAGGACAGATGAGACAAGATATGAATGATATAACATGATGAGGCAAGTATCACAGGAACCGAAGGAACCGAAGAAACCTACGCAGGAAACTTAGGAAACTCAGCTCCCCACACTGGGAGGTCATCATGAATCTTGGGAACAAGGTGCGGCTCCAGGACTACGCAAAGGCCTGGTAGGGGAGAAGGATGAAGAAGGGAGACAAAGTGGGACTATGTTGGACTATGTTGGACTGGACAAGTGTCAGCGCCTCTTCATACTTGTCGTACTTACTTACGTGTAGGTGCTGCTTCACATTTGGGCAAAGGTTGGTGCAAACATGCGTGTCATGTCGTCCGCAGATGTTGATGCTGTGGTGCGTGTTGGGCTGGGAGCGGCTACGTGGCGCACAAGGATACATGTTGACGCAGAGAATGGATGTTGGATGAGATTTCAATGTTTCTGATTGGGCGTTCCGTGTGAACACACCGCTGGGCCCAAAGAGTGGAAAACTGGCTGGATATTCAAGCCGGTGAAACTCGGGAAAGGAGAACAACATGCTTGAGACCCAATGGGTATGTTTTCGAAAACCCATCAGTCAAGTACTTTACTTCTTTGAAGCGATGACATCAAGCTCATGGAACGGAGGCACGTGGCCTTCTGGAGCATTTGTCAGCCACTTTGAACAAGAGACCGCCAGAGGGTGGTTTGTTCAGTGGGAGGAAGTTGGCCAAACGCAACAGAAGATCAAAGAAGGAACCCTCTCAAAAGCTTCAATGGAAGCTCATGAATTTCGGGTGCCAAGGCCGAAAAGATACTCATCAGCAGAGGATGCAGAATACCCATGCATCCTAAAGCAGGTGCGACTTGATCTTGCTAATCTGGTAGTTTTTTTGATTCCTTGCGCTCACACGACCTCTCTTGCAAGCGAGTTCCCAGAGATTCAGACACACAATGGCAGGCCTATGGTGAGTTTGGAAAGGACGGCTATGACGCTGACATGGTATCGTCGCTCATCCATTTGAATGGTCATCCGAGCACTTGACTTTCTTAGCAACCCTAGGAACATTAGAAACTGGTTAGGAACCTCAGGGCCTGGCTTTGGGTGGAGCGCCTTGCAAACATGTGGTTTCTACAGGAGTGCTGCATTGTCTCCTGCGCAGATGAAGTGTTCAAGGCTGTGCAAGTACCTCTCGATCATTTTGGATCACTGTCTTGCAGGTCCCTCCTTTTGTTCTAAGTCTTGATTGATGATTGTCCAAGAGTTGAAGTTTGATATTTTTGTTGCTTTTGCGAGAGGTGGCATTGCATGGATTAGGATCGCGCTGGGTCCTCCAGGACCCTTTTGTAGCTGGCTAGCTCGTCAGATGTTTGCGTGAGTTTAGTTTGGCTCCCTCCCTCTCTCTCTCTCTACATGCTCTGTAGCCAGGGTTTTAGGTGGAAGCCGAACAAAATGAAGTCTAAACAAATCATATCCCACCTACCAGAGCATGATCTCTCCATTCTGACGTGGTCCGCCAAAGGAGCTGGTTCGTGGCTGCTTCGAGGTCAATCTTTGCAATCGGTGAATGGAGTGAATCTTGAATTCATCACAACCTATTTTTAAGAAGTGATTTGTGAAGACATGCGATGGCAACATAGAGCTGCTTAGCGGAAAGTTCACAACCAGGTCTCGACGACTGTGCTGGTTGACAAGGGCAATATTCTTGACGAAATCAGCATTTGTCCCTTGCATCACTTGCATCCCTTACTGCATTGCTTTTTGCTTCCTTTCTGCACTTTGTCAGTGGAGAGCCTCTCACCCTGCGCAGCTAATTACAACTGCTCCTGAGGTTACCAGTACGACTCTGATGCTTATGTGTGGCCTCGTTGCAGAAGGATCACCAAGAGCTTGCACTCCGTTCCAGGAAAGCACTTGAAGGTCTTTCAGCAGTTTCTGGCAGAGTACTCTGGGATTTGCAATTTCAACTACAAGGCCTTGATCACGTTTCTGCTTCACCAGAGTGCTGCTAGTTCACTGTTTCTGGACACCATATGGCACATTGAACACTTGGGGGTGGCATCCGCAGGTCCGGGAGACAGGTGAGCTAAGCATCTTCGAGTTGAATACGCGTATAGGACAGCTTTGCTGAATTTGCCGAATCTTGCAGACTGAGACCTTCTGTGCTGAAACTCCCAATAGTTTCTAGATGTTTCTAGAACTCTCGGGTAGTTCTAGTAAGTGCACGTAAGGGCCACATCATGCTTAGCTTGCATCCATGCTAAGATCAAGCAAGCAGGCTACTAGTTCACTAGTCCAACAGTCCTGAGTTCATGCTTTCGATATAGTTCACCCTGCTGAGCACAAGGCTTTCGCACGATCTAGTCTAGTGATGTCTAGTGTGCCTTGTCATATTCTGCTCACTCACGATCGATTGAACATACACATCGACATGTCGATGGACGAGTTCCACTGCGGTCTGGGGTGTCTTTGTGCCAAGTAGTTGACACGACCATGAAGTAACAATCAAGAAGGGAAGGTCACACACACGATGTCACAACTTCATCATCATGTTGTCCTGCTGCATGTTTAAATATTGGAACCGGGCACTTCGTGCCCAAATCTGCAACTTGTAGCCGCCGTGCCCTTTGCCCTTTGCTGATCTCTTTAGTCCCCGATTGCAGACTATAGCTAGTCTTGATTGTTTTCTCCTCATACCTAATGATGGTGGAAAAAATTGATCTTGATTTTGCGGGACCTGTGACGTGTTTGGAGCAGCGCCGAGTTGCGATATCGCGAGATCTCCAAGAAATTTGAATACATGCCCCTGAGGGCAACTGAGGGCAACTGAGAGCAGGTGCAGGTGAAGGTAACTGAGGGCAGGTGCGGGCAGGTGAGGGCAACTGAAGGGCAGCACGACACCTGGATCAATTGGATTCAACTGAAGCCCTTCGAATTGCTGGGAGGAGGTGACCTTGCCGTGGATGCACCTCGTGACCGTGCAGGCGCTTTGTTTGAGAAGCTGGACTCTCACTGGCGCATTGCCAGATGTCATGCAGAAAAAAGTGCCAGAGAATGAGGTGACAAGATGTGAGAAGTATCCTGCATGGCTGCGCACACGCCTTGTATCCAGGATCTGCATGCACTTGTGCTCAGTAGACTCTCTGACCTCAGACTTGCATTTTGCCGGCAGTTGCAGAGGTCTTGAGGCATGCGCAGTGAATCGAACAACCCAATGCTAGCACGTAGGAAGCTTTCAGAAAAGCACGTTCAGCAGGAGCACCCATCACTGACATGTCGATACATTTCATTGATTTCTTTTGTACTAGCATGCCGAGCACGCCAATTACTTCAGAGGTACTCCCAGGGCAGCCCAGGTTGGCACAGTCTTTTCAACTCACTTCTTGCTTCCATGTTTGGCCCCAAACCAGAAGATCCCAGCGATCTCTCGCCACCAGATGAGCTGGCACAGGTACGAAACCGACTTGCATGCAATGTTGGATCAGATTTTCCATGCATTGCTTGGTGTTCAGGTGCTGTTTGAACATGTTGCCATTGCATGGTCTTGAGAACGTTCAGATGTTGTTGTAGCTGTTGATATGATTTGGCCCTAGTTCAGACTTAGCTGGGCTCTGTCCGTTTGCAGCAGACTCAAGGTTGTAAGGAGGAAAGATTCCTGACACAGTGGGCCAAGACTATGTACGACCATTGTCCATGCCGGTTCTAGGTAGACTATGTATGAGCTCTAACTATACCCGTGAAACCGGTGGGTCTAGGCTTGACAGAGGGCAGTGACTTTGGTATTAATGGCCACCACTGCTCAAGCAGTGTGGTTCCCGCAACCATTGCCAGAACCATTTGCGATTCTAGGACATTCACATCGAAATCCATCACCGTATATCAGCGTTAAGAAATGTCGAGAAGTTAAGATCCTTATGGTGGCGCATCTATAATTCGCATCACGAAACATCAAGAAACCATAACTGTCCTGGAAGCAGTTGTGAAACCACAATCAGCAAATTTAATTGTAGAGCTTCGCACACCGGCGATGCCATAAGGGCTATGTATAGTAGTGTGAGCGTTGGTGTTGTTAATGTGCTCTGCGCGTGTGCGCGGGTGCAGAGCACAGTGTGATGTTCTTGTCATACCGCAGCTTGTAACCATCTTACCACATCTTTTTGTCGCATTTTTGTCCTTGTTCTTCTTCTTGTTGTTCTTGTTCTTGTTCTTGATCTTGTTCTTGTTCTTGTTCTTGTTGTCGTTGTCGTTGTGGTTGTGGTCGTTGTGGTCGTTGTGGTTGTTGTGGTCGTTGTGGTTGTTGTGGTTGTTGTTGTTTGTTTGTTTGTTTGTTTGTTTTGTTTTTTGTTGTTGTTTGTTTGTTTGTTTGTTTGTTTGTTTGTGTTTTGTTGTTGTTGTTGTTGTTTGTTGTTGTTTGTTGTTGTTTGTTGTTGTTTGTTGTTGTCTGTTGTTGTTTGTTGTTGTTTGTTGTTGTTTGTTGTTCTTTGTTGTTGTTTGTTGTTGTTGCTGTGGCTGTTGCTGTTGGTGTTGTTGTTGTTGTTGCTGTTGTTGTTAGTGCTGTTGCTGTTGCGGCTGGTGTTGCTGTTGTGTTGTTGTTGTTGTTGTCGTTGTTGTTGTTGTTACTGTTGCTGCTGTTGCTGTTGCTGTTGTTGCTGCTGTTGCTGTTGTTGCTGTTGCTGTTGGTGTTGCTGTTGGTGTTGCTGTTGCTGTTGTTGTGCTGTGTTGTTGTTGTCGTTGTCGTTGTGGTTGTTGTGGTTGTGGTTGTGGTTGTGGTTGGTGTTGTTGTTGTTGTTGATGTTGTTGGCGTTGTTGGTGTTGTTGGTGTTGTTGGTGTTGTTGGTGTTGGTGTTGGTGTTGGTGTTGGTGTCGGTGTGGTTGGTGTTGGTGTCGGTGTCGGTGTGGTTGGTGTTGGTGTTGGTGTTGGTGTTGGTGTTGTTGGTGTTGTTGGTGTTGGTGTTGGTGTTGGTGTCGGTGTGGTTGGTGTTGGTGTCGGTGTCGGTGTGGTTGGTGTTGGTGTTGGTGTTGGTGTTGCTGTTGTTGTTGTTGTTCTTGTTGTTCTTGTTGTTGTTCTTGTTGTTCTTGTTGTTCTTGTTCTTGTTCTTGTTGTTGTCGTTTTTGTTTTTGTTGTTGTTGTTGTTGTTCTTGCAACCCAGTGTGTATATTTTCACATTTTTGTGGGCCCTTAAAAAACACTGTAAGTACAGATGTTTTTTGTGCTTCACGAGCCCAAAACCACGGTATTTACGATGTATTTTTTTTTTGCATTTGGTAGCAACAATCATGGTATTTACAATGTTTTTTTTTTTTGCCACTGCCTGGCAAAAACACTGATAGCAAAAACACTGATATTTACGTAGTTTTCAGCATGTTGCAAGATGTGGTTTTTCTATATGCGAAAAGGACAAGAAAAGAACACTGTATTTTACGATGCTTTTGCTTCCCGAGCGCAGCAAAAAATCGGAAAAATAGCTCAAAAACATTTCATAATTTTAACATCTTTCTTCCCGGCCCTGAACCCCCAAAAACGTGAAAACAACAGCAGAGTGAAGGATTTTGGGGGGTCGGCGGCCGGGGTGCGCCCGCGGGAAGCTAAAGCTATGGCGTATAAAGTTTTATAGGGCGTATAAAAGTTGAAATATATCGACCCCTGAGCCCCACTATGTATAGCATAGGTAGTAGGTCTAGTATAGGCATGCCATAGCTATGATTCCATCACATCCGAAGTAGTTACTCCAAATACCTTGTGTACAGTAGTAGCACCTCATGTCTAGAAGCGTTAGATATGTAGATAGCTTAGAGTTTATCTCAGGGTCGTAGTTAACCTTCCCAACAACAACCGGGTAGGTCCTTTAACTCCCGCTGTTTGACGCTCATGGCTCAAGTGCGGAAAATAGCTCCGTGCTTGGTTTTCATGTTGTATAAGGGTTGTGGTAGGAACGTATTTGGTTCGACCCCCCTTTTGTCTGGTTATCAGCCGTAAGGCTTGTTTTCCTGTTTGTTTCGCCTTTTTGGGGTTTTATTCCTACCACAACTGGTTTAGGCCCCTGGTTTCGCTTCGCTCACTGTCTTCACTGTTGCATGCCTGCAGAAGGGTCGGACGAAGTCGCTGACGATTACGTCGCGACGGAAACACCAGCAGACGGATCCGAAGCGGCTGGTGAAGCAGAAGGTGTTGAAGAAAATCTTCCATCGACTGTTGAGCCGGTAGCTGAGGAGTCCAGAAACTGGGCCGATCTTTCTGAGGGGTCCACTGCGCCCGCGCCTTCTGGAGGACTTGAATTGACCCAGGTCAAGGAAGAAGTTCAAGAGGCCGAGTCGCTCAACGCGGTCCTTTCTGCAATTGGTGTTCCGGAGGTGGTCGCTGACGAACCCGTCGCGACAGAGGGTGAGTTTGGACATTCAACTTCTGATCAAACATTTTTGGAGGTTCCCACAGACTTGGACAATCCAGCTGAGGCAGCTTTCACGGACCTTGATCAAGCTAAGGAAGAGGACGTTCAACCTGATCTTCAAGAATCACCTTCAGAGCACGTAGACGTCGGAGTTGAGGAAGCCGATCATCAAGCTGAAACAACAGACCTTTTAGGTTTAGGTGACGAGGCGGGTCCAGTAGGAGAAGCATCCGTTGCATCCGAACCATCTGCATCCGTGCCTGAGCCTGCGGTCGCTGACACATCCGGTGTCGCGACAGAAGCCAACACCACTTGCCCCGATAACATAGCCCCACCACCAACTAGCCCTAATCTTGTAGACCCAGGTGCCGATCCTATCCAAGTAGGACATTCCCCTGCCAGTTCATCAACAGCCCATCGACCAAGGGTTCGATCCAGCAGGGGTGGTGCTCAAACTAGGTGGCAAGAAGCAAAGCGTGCTTGGTGGAACGACTTCGAGGCATACCAAAATTGGCTTTACCATAATTCCGGAGGGGATATCGTAGGTGGCTTTTGGTTAAGAAAGATTTCTTACGAACAAGCTGACGAAAGCATTCGCTGGTTGATAGCTCTTCATTCAAGACTTGTTGAGGAGTTCCCAACATCACAGTGCTTAGCTTTGGCCTACCAAATCCTCATCCCTTACAAAGAGTGGGCTCACATCCACGGGTTGGACAGGCGTAGAGGTACTGCCCACGCACAGCAAGTGATTGATTCCGGTGAATTACCTCCAAAAAGGGTCATTAACCAACGAATCTTAGGGGCAGAGCACCCACGCGCAGAAGAGTGGGATAGATATTATAGATACATAGGCCCACAGCAGCAACCCCGTCCAAAGGTGGTTAGGCCTGCTGCCGCAACACCCGTTGCTGGCGCGGCAAGTGGAAGCGCAGATCCAACTCCGGTCCAGCAAGGACCCAAAGAGCCTGGGCATCCACCGCCAAATTGGCAACCCTCATTGAGGGCACCAAACCATCCGGTCCAACCGCCGCGTCCAAGGGTTACTGTCTCTGTCCATCCAGTCCCGAAAGCCCCAAAGTCAGATTCTCAAGGGGTCGCTGCCTTTGGGCGCGACGTAGCACCAGTCCCAGTAGCTAGCCCTGCTAAGCCACCAGCTAAAGCTAGGCCCAAAGCTCCTGATTCTAGTGCCACAACCCTTGCAGATAGAGTTCGAAGTTTGCCACCTCCACCTAATAACATCGCCCCTAGTCCGCCTCCTCATAAACAACCACCTTTACCACCATTACCACCTCCTAATACACCACCACCTGGTGATAACTTTCCACCCCCACCATCTCATCCGCCGCCAACTGCACAGGAGCTCGCTGCCCGCAGTTCCCGACCAGCAGAGGCGCGAGAAGAGACTGCTCCGGAGGATCCCAACGATCCACCGCCTGAGGAGCAGCAGTGGGTGGAGGAAGAGGAGGAAGAGGAAGTTTTTGAGGAGGACGAAGTAGTCGAAGTTGAGGTTGAGGCCGAAGCAGAACCCGAATTCCCTGACTTCACAACAACAGAGCACGGCCGTGACGTTTCCACGCGCCGTCGTAGGCCTAAAAGAACTAGGTCCAATCCGCCATTGCCTGTCAATCTAGTCCCAAGGGAAACCCGTGAACGAATTGAACTTAATCAAGAACTTTATAGAGCCCGAGCCATAGCCGGTGTTTCTAGAAGACCTCTTGCTTTAAGACCCCAAGTGCACGGTTACCCCGAAATTAGAATTGACTCCGCTGGCACCTGGGCTAGGGTCGCTGATCCTCCGATCGCGTACGCGCCACAGACTTTGCCTTTTATCATCCCTCACGCTGAGGCTCCAGAGCTTGGGGTCAACCCACACGAGCTTCCCGACTCGTTGTGGCGAGATCCTGCACTTAGATCCCATCGGACAGTTCTTGGTTCAAGTAATTTAGACCCCAATAGTGTCTATAACATTGCCACCAACAACCCCGAGACCGAATCTGAGGGCTCTGAAACTGCTGAGACTCGAACCGCCAGGTTTGTATCATCAGGTCAGGCATTTGTCGGCCAGCAAGAACCGTTTGACGCTGGCTTCGTTGAGCGCACCCCTGCCCGTCCAATTGAGTCTCCTCCAAAGAGA